GGTGGACTGGAGAATGGCAGAACTTAGGTTCCCAAAAGGGGAATCAGCCAAGGCACCAGCCCAGCCCCAATCAGGGGGAACCCCGACTTAAAAAGCTGCAATAGGGAGAAAAAAGGAAATACCCAAAATACCAGAGGAGTATAGAGACCTAGCTGAAGTATTCAGTGAAGAGAGGTCTGGTGAGCTGCCGCCGCATCGGCCCACGGACTGTGCAATAGAAATCAGACCAGGTGCAAAGCTTCCAAAGCCTAGACCACAGGTCGGCAACCCGCGGCTTCGGAGCTGCATTTGCAGAGAGAGAGAGAGAGACAGACAGAGAGAGAGAGGGGGGGGCACTTGCACTTCCCTTCTCTCTCTCTCTCTCTCTCTCTCTCTCTCTCTCTCTCTCTCTCTCTGTGTGTGTGTGTGTGTGTGTGTGTGTAAAAAAAAGAGTGGCCTCAGGTTGTTCTCGGACAAGTTGACAAGCTTATTGAGCCAGCCCAATAAGAATGTGTGTTAGCTTGTCGGAGAACAGCGTGAAGCCAGCTTGCCAAGTGAGCAGAAGATCGGAGAGAGGGAAAGGGGGGGGGGAGAGAGAGGGAGACAAAGAGAGGGAGGGAGAGAGAGAGAGAGACAGAGAGAGAACTCATGCACAGCAGTCTCTATTTCTTTTTAATTAAACTCTTCAATCAAGCTCCCCCCAAGTTTTGTGACTCCCAGTGTTTTCTTTTCTTTTTTTTCAATATAAAATTTTTATTATTTTCATCCTAAGAAAAAATCACAAATAATTCACAATACTATATGAAAAGAAATAAACCCCCACCCCCCCACCCTTCCACCCCGGACTTCCCAAACCTAATCCCAGGATAATATTCAGATATAAGCAAACAAATATTGAAATCTCTAACTCCACAAAATATATTATTCTACATGAATAGGTAAAATATATTTTTTTAAAAAAAGAAAAACAAGTTTACTTAAAAGCCTAAATTATATTCTACCACTCTATGCTTCTTTTGAATATAGACAATCCATCTACTCCATATTAATAAAAATTGTTCATTTGAGTAATTCTTCAAATAAGCCGAAATCTTTGCCATTTCAGCAAGGTACGAAACTTTCAATCTCCAGTCCTCCATTGTAGGTAGAATTTTACTCTTCCAATTTTGAGCTATCAACAAACGGGCAGCAGTTAAACAATACAACATCAAGTTCGTTTCTTTTACATCCAAATTTTNTAACTAGCTCAGTTTCTGAATCCAATTCTAATAAAACATTATATATCCTTCTGATATGTCCTTTAGCATCGTCCCTTACTTGTTTCAAAAAATTCCCATCTTCCATAGAAAAAGTAATCTTCTTATCAATTCGCCATCTCTCTTGAATTTGTCTATACACCAGCCAAGAAAAGTCTGGATTTTTCTGTTTCAAAACTTCCATTGATTTGAGGCACCAATTACCACTACCACTCTGATATAACAAGTCTTTGTAGGATGGCGCCCCAGTGTTTTCTTTTCTCTGGGAAACAGGTCCAAGTGGCTCTTTGAGTGTTTAAGGTTGCTGACCCATGGCCTAGACTATACTCTATGAGCCCACAGGAATTAGAAGAAATGCAGAAATTCATAGACAAAAAACTTAGAAAGGGGTTTCATTCAGCCAGCAAAGCCAAAGACGGCTGCCCCTGTATTATTCCGAGAAAAGAAAGATGGAACTCTTCACCTCTGTGTGGATTATAGGGCTTTGAACACAATAAGCGAAAGCAATCTATATCCCCTCCCCCTCATGAAGGACATGCTATCTCACCTTTCAAAGGGGAAGATTTTCACCAAGCTAGACCTAAGGGAAGCATACTATCGAATTAGAATTAAGGAAGGAGACGAGTGGAAAACCGCCTTTAATTGTCCTTTAGGATATTACCAATTCCGAGTCCTACCTTTTGGACTACAGGGAGCTCCTGCTGTATTCATGCAGCTGATAAATGATGTACTAAGGGAGCACCTATACAAGGACGTACTTGTTTACCTGGATGACATCCTTATATTCACAGAGACCATGGACAAACATGTCAAACTGGTCAGGACACTCCTAAACAAACTACAGGCAGCCCGCCTCTATAAATTTCATAAGGATAAAATAGATTATCTGGGATACCGTATATCCCCAGAGGGCATAGAAATGGACCTCGAGAAAGTCCGGGCGTACTAGAATGGGTGCCACCCCACACGAGGAAGCAATTGTGGAGCTTCCTGGTATTCACCAACTTCTACTGGCAATTTATTTCCTCTTTTGCCCAAATAGCTTTTCCAATCAGGAACTTACTAAAAACCAGAGGGGAGGGAAAACCCAAGCCAAGCAAGCCGTTAAAATGGACAGTAGAATGCCAAGCCGCATTCGAGAGGCTGAAAAAGCTGTTTTCCGTAGAACCAGTTCTAAGGCACCCCGACACCAACAAACCTTTTGTAATTCAGGCAGATGCCAGTGATATAGCAGTGGGGGCTGTATTATTACAAGAGAATGACAAAAAGTTCCTAAGTCATAAGAACCTATGCACTATCACAGATGGGCTACCCTGGGTGGGAGAAAAACTATACATACCCAAAAGTCAGAGACTGGCATTCATGCAACTTTGCCACGATTCAAAATCAGCAGGTCACTTTGGGTTTGTGAAGACATTACACCTAGTTAAAAGGCAATTTTGGTGGCCATCAATAAAGAAGGACATTGAAAGCTACGTAGCCAGCTGGTCAATTTGTGCGTCTGCAAAAAGATTACAAGGAAAATCACCTGGGCTGTTACAGCAGGTAGCAACCCCCTCGACACCTTGGAAGGAGATATCTATGGACTTTATAATGGAGCTACCAGAAAGCAACAGAAATACAGTCATCTGGGTCGTAACGGACCTGTTTTCCAAACAAGTGCATTTTATCCCCTGCTCAAAAATTCCTACAGCAAAAACACTGGCGAAACTGTTTGTTCAGCACATATATCGATTGTTTGGAGCCCCACAGCGCATTATATCAGATAGAGGATTGCAATTCACTTCAGAATTCTGGAAGGAGTTTTTGACTCTGTTTGGGGCCACCCAGGGGCTGTCATCTAGTCATCATCCGCAAACGAATGGTGGGACTGAACGGTCGAACTCAGTACTAGAACAATATCTAAGATGTTTTATTAATTATCAGCAGACCAACTGGACTGACCTACTCCCATTCGCTGAGGTCGCTTACAACAATGTCGTTCACTCCAGCATGGGCTATATTCCGTTCCAAGTAGCCACAGGGAAAAGTTTTAACCCAATGCCAGAACTTTCCCCTGCAAAACCTGCCATTCCTTCATTAAAGGAGCGGATTGCACAACTAAAGAACACCTGGCCGGTGGTTAGGAAAGCATTGGATAAAGCTAGGCAAGCATATAAGATTCAAGCAGATAAAAAGAGAATTGAGCCAAAACCTTTCACTGTGGGGAAAATGGTTTACCTATCCACCAAGTACGTACAATCCTTACAACCATCTAAAAAACTTGGACCCAAATATGTAGGACCATTCCCCATTATCAGATTTATAAACCCAGTAACCGTGGAATTGGAACTCCCAAAATCCCTCAGGCAAATCCACCCAATCTTCCACTGCAGCCTTCTAAAACGCGAGCAACAGTCACCATTAAGACTAGCTGTCGCTCTGCCCCCTTCTCCCATTATGGTAGAAGGGGAACAACATTTCGAAATTAAAGAAATTTTAGACTCCAGGAAATATCATGGCTCCACTCAATACTTAGTGGCGTGGAAACACCTCCCATCCTCCCAAACAAGTGGGTCCACAAACGCTGTATTAAAGCCCTTAAATTACTTTAAAAATTCCACACCAAATACTCGAACAAACCTGATTAATCTACATATATATTTGTCTCTATGTCTCCACAGGTGGATCTCTCTTTTTTTTTAAGGGAGGCAGGATGTCAGAACCCATATTCTAAGGGGCCCCTTTTCTACCTTTAATTCCAAGCCTACTCTTTCTATATTTCTGGGATATGCCATACTCCTGGAGGGGAGGGGGGAAATGCATTGCGGGTTATTGCTCTGTTTTCTTCTATCACTACACTATAACACTTTGCTGTTTCTGCATACTTCCTCTGTGAACTATCTTTCCCCTTGATGTCAGCTAGAAGGGGGGGAGAAGAAAGGAATGCGCCTCCGGCAACTGGTTTATCTCCGCTTTCGGAAGGGAAGGTGTGAAGAGCCGACAAAACAACGCTGCAACCCTGAGACAGCCTGGCGTTATCTGCTCTTTATTATTTGTTGGGTTAAACAGTTGTCTGAACACCATACAAAACATAATTTCAGTTTCTAGTACTTATTAACACAGTAATGCTTTATAAGAAATCTAGAAAACAACCTTTATATACAGTACCTTCAATATTAGAATCATTTATTGTATAAACAGTGGTAGAAATCTACCCACACACACAGCAGAAAACTTTTTACCAGAAGAATGCTGCAGATTATACATTAAGAATATGAAGCAACAAAACCCTATCACAAGTTGTCTTTGATGACCAGGAATCTAATTCATCAGGAATGACATAATAAAGATGCCACTGACTGCATTAATCTTCCTAACCCTGATGAAAAGTAAATCAATTTTTTTAAGAGATCAGTAATTCATGGCGCACATCTAAAACTAGTGACTTGTCCAATATTATTGCTTACTTGCTGAATAGTTGATAACAGTGTGTTCCAAATGTGAGACTATTAAGTATTATCTGTGTTTGCACATTCAGTTTTGGCTTATTGTGAAAAAGTAACCTGCTGATGCATCCTACTTGACTGCTCCTGGTTTGCTTCTCTTGCCAGTAGAAGTGGTTAAGTAAACCTCAGAAAATTCTTCTATGGTTTGTTTAGCCATTCCTACTGACCTTAGGGACAAATGGGAGTTGTTAAGCTTGTGTGCAAAATTAATAATTGTTTACCATTAAACATGCCATAAATGATTAATAATGTGTTGAATAAATTAAAAATATCATACCACAAAAGCAGCCAGACTTCTTGGTGGTGACTCCCACTCAAAACAACCATTTATAAAGTAGGCAGCATTTATAATGACCATGATGCAATGTTTCACACGGATAAAGTTCCTTAGAAGAAGCTAGAGGTAAGAAACACAGAGCATGTGTTAGCTTCTTTTGTGCTGTTGAATATATTCTGACTGTGTTTCACACTTTATCCTAAAAGGATACACTATATAAACTAAAAGTGCTATTACTGAAAAATGAAAAAGGAATTGTCAATAGGTATCCACAGGTTTATCAGTAATTGCAAAATATAAAAGGCCGTATCATTTTACTCTGCAGCACAATAGAAGAAATGACAATGCTGCTGTACTCACCAAGCTTTCATTCTGAATATGTAACTATGCTCCAAGCACTGAAGTTCAAAGATTTACTAAATTAATCTAGATTTTTGAAACAAAATTTTATACTAACTATAAGAAATGACATATGCAGTAATTTTCAGGCAATTTTACTTGTTTTTCCATTTAAGATATGACAAAACATTAAAAGGACAAGAAAAACCATGCATTTCTTTTTAAAAACTATGAAGACCTTTTTACCAGTACTTGGAAAGATATTACCTTGAATTTATTCATAAAATTCACTGCAAAAAACTTGCTAACTTGTTGCTATTCTAAAGCATAATACTGTACCTGTTTTTATTTAAAACAAAATTTCTCTAATGAGAAATTTTAAGTTCAAACTATGTGATAAAGATTATCTATCCATTGTCTGCAAATGTGCCCACTAATTTCTAAACATCTGGGGAAACTATACTGAAAATATTTAGTTTTGTGTATTACAAAAGAGTACTTGCTTATTTTATGATTATGTAAATAATGTCTGCTTATAAAAAGTCCTTATTGAAAGTAACTCTGTATTTTAAGTAAGAAGTATACAAATACTATTCAGTTTATGAATCAGTTCTGGAAAAGCAGATTGATTTAGAGCTTATTTAGTTACTATAGTTGTAATAATAAAAATATAGAATAAATTTGGTTGTAATTTTATTTTAACCAATTTTTCAACAAAATTAAAATTTTAAAATAGTCACTATTCATAAGTAAATATTTCAGCTAATAAGAGTAAACACACAACCAGAAAAAATATAATTGTCAGTCTTTGAAGAGTCAAATAAAAGTTTGTTGCCTTAAGTCTAATAAGCACCACAGCATTAGAACTAGGAGAACAAAAGACTGATAGATTCTCTAATCCACAATAATATGAGAGTTCCTGTAGATCAAATTAGCCACAAAATGTATGGTAGACTAAGTTTACAGCCCACCTGTGCCATAACCCGATACACAGGGGAAAACTGATGACTTTATTGTGGTTCTCATGACACTTTTCTAAAGCTCAGTTTTTGCTTGGAGTGGGGCATGTGTGTGTGTTTGTGTGTGTGTATATGTGTGTGTATGTGTGTGTGTGCTCACATGTCCAGATAAACTTTTGTTATAAATCAAAAAGTGCTTTAAATGCTTATTCCCCCACCCCAAAAAACCCCCACCACAAATTGCACAATAATATTGCAATTCTAAATCTTTACCTGTTTAGATAGTCTGTTTTCTTCTTCAATATATTTCTGTTCTTTGGGAATTAATGTTTGGATGCTGGCTTTCACCTAAACATCAGAATATCATGATATTTAGGCACTTATACATGTATTATTTAGAACCATTATCACAGCATTTCAAAATCTCAAGGCCAAGATTATAACCTAGAAATATGAAGCACAGAAGCTCATGCTTGTGTATATATTACAGCAATAGCAGTGAGGTGATAAAGTGTGACTGTCTCAGGCAGTGGCGGAAGACTATTCTGCAGCATATATCAAAGTTTAGAGAAAATGAGGAATGACAGAAATTCTCTACAAATCAGGAACAAAAGCTTTCATGAAACCGAACTCTTTAGCAGTACAAAAAAGCCAAAGTTAAGACTTACAGCATTAAAAATCACATCCATTTCAAGATAGATGACCCCCTTTGTTGGCCCTGTCAGCTGCTTGTTTTTCAAAACGTAGGCTTTCTGTTCACCATTTTGAATCTGCAGGAAAAGGACATGACAGCCGTCTGTCTCACAGTCTCTACTGAATACACTCCCTCCATGACCTTTGACCCCCAGCTGCTGAAACTGACAGAGAACCCAAAACAACTGTGGCAATTCTGACAAGTACCTGTTCATTACCAGGACCAAGTCTGTCAGGAAAAATTAACTATCATGGGATTCAACATGGCCGTGAATTGAGTATGTTAAATTTTTTTCAGTATTCCTATTACAGATCTGGGTTGAGAAATGACAGCCTATACTGATTGTTTCCATGAGCATAAAGAAATTCAGAGCAGATGATGATGGCAATGATGATAATAATAACAATAACAATATCAACTTACATACAATAATGGAATAACCACTTTGCCTAGGAAGTCCGCACTCCGATCACGATCTTCATCATAAACTGTCACTTCAAGAACTGAGTGTATATCTTTAATATTGCTATAAAGAGTGAGGCAGAAAGAGGTGCAAAGTCACTGAATTGATTGTCAACAAAAATGCACCACTAAGTCCCCAAAAAAATCAAACAGTACATGTATTTTTGAAAGTATAAACCTGAAAAAGAGGGCTAAAAGAAGACCAATTTAAATAGGAATACAACTCAGGCATAATGCTGAACATTTGGCAATTACATACTTCCCTGCCCTTATTGTGTCTGTGGAATGTCTTCCAGCTGCACTATTTAGAGTGTCCCAGACCCTATTAGGCAAAGATGGGCCGGAAGAACCAATTAGTGTAAGTTGTGATCGTCTGGCTGAGCATTTTATGGATAAAATCACTTGCATTTGCTCTGAGTTGGAAGCCAGATGGATGAAATCTTTTGAAGTTATAGAAATATCAACTTGTGATGTTACCTAGTAAGTTTCTGAGACTCATAGGCTCAAGTTAGTAGAGAAAGTTCTCTATAATATTAGTATTTCTGCTTGACACATCTGGTTGGCCAAAGCATCTAGAAAGGGAGATGGCAGTTGGACTCTGGCAGTCATCAATTCTTCTTTGAGGGAAGGGACTACTGAGCAGCTTTGAAAGAAGTCCTAGCCTGTTCACTCCTTGAGAAATGGCTGCGGAACCAGCAATAGCGAACAGCCTTTCCTCTAACTCCAACCTCTCCTTTTTGGAAAGGATGTTGAGAAAATAATGAAATTAAAATTTCAGGGAGCACTAGAGGACCATGGAATGAAAACCAGACTGGTTGTTGTGGATCACTTGTGGCAGGACTTGAGAGATGGGAGAACAACCATCCTTGTCTTCCTAGATCTCTTGGCAATGTTGAAACTATTGATCACATTGTTCTTCTAGACCAGTGGTTCTCAACCTTTTTAATGCCGCGACCCCAACTGGTCGTAAGTCGAGGACTAAACCGGTCGTAAGTCGAGGACTAAACCGGTCGTAAGTCGAGGACTAAACCGGTTGTAAGTCGAGGACTACCCAACCGGTCGTAAGTCGAGGACTTTCCCTGCCCGGGAGCGCCGCGCATGCGTGGTTCCGCCCCCTGCGCCGGCCGAGGCGTAGCTGGCAACCGGCAGAGACGGAGCAGGCCAACCACCAGCTGGCCCAGCCCAAGGGAGGTAAGGCACCCGCCGGAAAAAGGGGAAAAAATGGCGGACAAAAAAAAATGGCGGACAGCCTTGCTTGGCGACCCCCATGAAATGGTCGATCGACCCCAAATGGGGTCCCGACCCACAGGTTGAGAACCACTGTTCTAGACCTCCTGCAAGAATTGGCAGTTGAATGCACTTAAATAATCACTCTTTTAAGACTATTGTGGTCTCATGGTTCCTGGAAGTTAAGTTTTTGCTTCAGTTTTAAATTAGACACCATTTATCCAGAATTAATTTTAATGTCAAAGCTGGGGCTTTGGGAAAAGACCATTCTGCATAGCCTCTACATATAGGGCAAATCCCTAATCCTCTGCTAGCTCTTCTCAGCCTCTATTTCTTTCCTCTTGGATAGAAAAAAAGGCTTTCATCATATAAAGGAAAACTGGAAATATATATTTTCTGAATTTTGAGGATCTTGAAAATAAAAGTTTGCAACATTACAGTACATAAGAAAAAGAATCATATTAGGGGAAATCACTTGTAAAAATAAATGCTAGGAGTAATAGAAATAAAACTTGTGAAAACATTTGTGAGTATTTGTGAAGTAAAGCAGAGCCAATTTACAGCTGAGAAACTGAATGAAATTATCCAACTTTTAGATTCAATTCAATTTTTCATTAACTTCCATTCCCTCTATCCTGAATAGAATTGTAAGAGCAGGGAATCATTTTTAGTTGTTTTAGGTCTAAAGGATGGGGAAGAAGGGGTGGGATGAAAACTTCTATCCATCTCTTTTTATAGTGAGATATCGGGATCCAACATATTGAGCAAATAAGAAACATAGAAATATAAAAAACCGATGGCAAAAAAGCCCTCTAGTAGTCCCTTTGCGTTTGTTTTTTGTTTGTTTGTTTGTTATTACATTTTATTTTAAAAAAAATTAAAAAAAATTGTTGTTGGCAGATGGACATGTATTTATCCCAAGCATATTTAAACTCAGTCACTGAAGATTGACCAGCTCCCTCTACTGGAAGTTGGTTCCAAGCTCCCACTACTCTTTCTGTGAAGTAATACTTTCTAACATTATTTTTGAACTTCTCTCCTGTTAGTTTGAGGTTAAGTCCCTGTGTTCTTGATTTTTGTTTTATATGGAAAATACTGCCTTCTAGAACCTTATTCACACCCTCAATATATTTAAAGATTTCACTCCCTTTTGTCCACCAAGCTGTATGAATTCAGTTCCTCCAATCTCTCTTGATATGTTTAGTCCCTCAGACATTGCACCATTTTTGTTGCTCATCTCTGGACTTGTTAAATCTTATCAATATCTTTTTTAAGTGGGGTCTTCAGAACACAGTATTCCAAAGGAGGCCTAACTAAAGCTCTAAATAGCGGGATTAGGACATCCTTTATGTTTGCCTTCACAGCTGCCTGGCCACACTGTTTGCTCATTCTGTAAGCACACATAAATCCTGTTCTTCTGTTGTTCTGTCTAACATTGTACCCCAATACTATATCCTGCCAGAGGATTCTGTTTTCCTAAGTGTATGATCTTACATTTAGAAACATTGAACTGCAGTTTTCACATCTTTGACCAATCTTCCAGCAATGCCAAATTGTTTTCCATGTTACGAATATTCCCAGGAACATCAACTCTATTCTACACCTTTGTGTCATCAGCAAAAAGACAAACCTTATCTAGCAATCCTTCTGTTATATCACTTATAAACACACTTGAACAGAGCAGGACCTAGTACAACTGTCAGTCTTTTCTCCTGTTCTTTCCAACTAGCCAAATAGATATAATTTTTTTAAAAATAATTGTTACAATTATTAAATTATATATTAATCATTTTAATATATTACTATATGTATGTAATATACAGTATAGTTTACATAATACACATACATTAATAAATACATCTGTATATTTTATTAAAAATCTCAAGGTGGTTTATAATAGAATTAAAATCTAAACTATGTTAGAGTAGTATTAAAATAATGCTCAATCTAAAAATGGGGAAAAGGAGAACAAATCAGAAATTAGTGGTGAAGGCTTGCATGAAAAGGAAAATAAAAGTTGTAATGGCAGACACTTCACAAATGTTAAGGTAGAACATTTCAGAGTGCAGGCATATTACAGATAATGTGTAAAATGTCACTCCAGCTTCACACATAATGATCTCCCCTAACAATCTTAATCTGAAATTTGAACTGGTTCCAAGTTCTACATCAGTACAATCTGAACTTGATTTATTAGCTAATAGGCAGCTGATTCAATTGTTTTCACAACATGTAACATGAACATGGCCAAGTGTCTTGCTTAGCAACTTGTTCCCAGCATTTTCCACCAAATGAGATTTTTGGAATAAATGCAAGGCAGCCCCACACTGAGTGCATCATGTAATCCAAACGTAAGGGTTACTATATGTGAACAATTGTAGCTAGGTTGCCATTATCTAGCTTTGTGAGACAGAGCATAACCAGATAAACATATTTTACTTTATTGAAAAGTTACATGGATAGACTCTTGCAAGCCTGAAAGTATATGTCTGGTCATAAGCAGATATTCAATGTAGCATTTCATATCATGTTCAGACTATTGCTCAACCTGAAGCAAAATTAATTAATGGTATGACTGATGCTACCCATCCATTAACAGATTGAAATAAAGCCACGGCTGTTACAGAGGGCCTGAAGTTGCAAGCACTCTGCCCCCATTCTCCCAAAAAAGCTTGGTATGAATGTTGGACTTATAGGACTAGAAAGCCAATCATATAATGTTCTTACACTAACCTTTTTGGGGTTTGGGGGTTTTCTTGTTCTTCAACAAGAACAAGAAAAAACAACAAAAAATAAAGCCCTAACCAGAAATGTTCAGTGGATTATTAAACTGTAAAGAACGTGAAACAGATTTGTTTTTCTTGTAATATAATTAGGAGAAATTACAATAACAAGATGATCCTTCATTCTTCAAATTCAAAAAATCAAATATTTCCATTGGTAAACTTGTAAGATCTACTCCAATTCTCTATAACTTTTTATCTACCAATTCATCTCCAATACATCAGTTTTCGTATATTAAAATACCGGTATTACAAAGCCCTTTTACATTTCTTCCTACAGTTAACTCACTTTTATTAAATGAAGAATCACAATAACTGGTTAGAAAGTACTGTGTTACTAATGTCCAATTCAGCAAATTATTCAACCTAGTCCTTTGACATCTGATTTATCACTAAGCTTTGGCTGTCTTTTATAACAGGACTGGGCATGTCTTAGGTGTTAAACTTTCTTAGTCTCCTGACCTTTAAAGGGGCTGCAGAAGAGTGTTTGGTGGTATCACTTGAAAGATATTTTGGGGGAGATAGTTTAGGGTTGGCCCCACCTTTAGCCAAGCAACTCATGATAAATTGCTCTAAGTCATGCACTGAATTTCAGATGGTGTTGGGGTATTGGGGGGTGCACAAATTGTTATTCTAGAGTGCTAAACACAGGGCTTTTTTTCAGGGTCTTGCGCCGCCTTGGCGCAAGGCCGTGGAAAAAGGCCCGGCCGGCGTGGCCTTTATCGGGGAGGGTGTGGCCTTTATCGGGGAGGGTTTAAAATGAACGTAAGGACAAGAGATTTCCCCGCCAGGATCCCAAACTACTCCCGCACCGGTCCAAACTCAAGGCGGTGGAAAAGAGGCTCTTAAAAAGCCCTGGCTAAACATGATTGATCCATGTGCTGTAACAATCCTAAATCCATTTCTTACAAAAAAAGTAATACAAAGAAACTTAGTTCCTTTTTTATTATAGCTTGTTTGCTGCTCAATTACAAATGGTTCCGAGCTACTTACATCAAGTAACAAAAACATTAAAACAGAATAACCATAATCAAAGCAACAATATCCCCTAATAGTACTACCCAATGAGTACATTTCAATCCTCACTATTCCCATTCTGGGACAGCCATGGCTTTGAAGCTCTTCGGAAGCCCTCAAAACAGGGGTTGGTTTGGATATCCAGATGCAAGCTCCTATGATTTTTAGATTCTAGATTTTAAAGTCCTAAATAAGTGAACAAAAATAAGCAGGGCTTTTTTTCTCATAGAATGCCCAGAATGGAGTTCCGGCACCTTTTTCGGATGGAACCTTGTAGGGTAGGCAAGGCGGGTTGTATGATGTGAGTGAGTTCTGGCACTTTTTTTTTTTTTTTAGAAAAAAAGCACTGAAAATAAGTATATAATACTTACTATCAGCTCCCAGATTCAGTCCTTGATATCACCAAGAATTATGGGGAAAATACATCTGAAATCCTTCAGGTCTTTTGCCAGTTATTTTGGGCCAGCATTTTTCTGACTTGTTGCACTTTAGATGAACTCCAATTCCACCTTCTTCAGCTATCCAGAGTTTATGAAGGTTGATCTAATTACTCCTAAACTAAATAGTTCAAACTTCCTATATGATGCAAGGCATTTTTTTAAGTTTCCAATGTACAAGATCTCTCTTCCAGCATCTTAGCAGCAACACATTTAGTTACATTTGCCAGATTAAGTAATCTAAAAATAGATTACCAAAAGACAAAAAACATTTGCTTATAGGTACTTCACTATCTTAGGTACTATTTATTCCAAAGACATTTATTTGTTGTGCTTAAGAAATTAGAGCAATTTAGTTCTGATAATTTTGAAAGCCACAATCAAACTTGTAAATGAAATTTTAAAAAGTATGGTAAGACTTACAAAGTGAAGATTTTGTTCCACTCAGGATTAAGGTTCTTATATATTGTGTGGGTCAACAATCTATCGTTGTTCAATTCAATTACACAAAATGGATCACTTTTACCTGCAAAAAGATAATTTTAGAGACATTCATGAATTTGCAACTTAAAATTATCTTGGCATTCTATGTAATTAACAATTCATACTCTAAAAACCAAATAATCTTAAATAGTTATTAGTGATGTTGTGTGGTAAATTATAAAAGTATTGCAGTGTAATACTCTGGATTAAAGGCAAAGATGGTGGAGTGTGGACATTAGTTTGGGATTAAACATGCCTTTTCACAGAACTGTATGAGAGATACAGTTATGTGATACTGTAAAAAGTGTTGCAGGCGGCAATTTTCATGCCTTAGCACTATTTTGCCTTCCAATTTTAAAAACGACACAGCCCTGATACATAGCGCATTTTTATTTTATAAAATGCTGATCATGTTAAATATATTCTGATGTCTAAAACTTAGAAAGCTACAAATGAATAGATTTACAAGCAAGATTTAACAGAAATTCCACATATTACATAGATCGGATAATAACATTTAAGTTTAATTTAAGGATGATATACTAGAAAAAATAGATAACAGTTTATCTACCATTTAATTTTTAAAATTTCTTGAAGATTACTATATGTCATAAACTTTAACATTTGCCTACATTTGTAGCACTATTTAGATTAAAATATATTGCCAAATTTAATATTTCAGAGAGAATCTTACTAAAATTTCAGGACATAGTGCAAGAAAGTGTGTGATGACAAAATTTCACCACTTTCATACATTACAGTTATGTGATAACAAAATGGATTTGACTCAAGAATATTCATAATAATCAGTATATTCTTCCAAATAATCTATGTCCTGATAAGACTATTTTATTAAATGAAAATTAACTGCAACAAAAGCAAAAGAGAAATGGAGTAGCAAATGTTTCCAACTAAAATCCGTTATTAGACTGATGTTGCCCAAGATAGATCATAATGCAAAATATAGCACACTGGGCAACTATTTTTCATAAAATATTCTGTAATGAAATATCACAAATTTAGGACCTCAAATATACCACACATTAAATGGTAATTTGTAATTTGTTTCATACCTTAAACAATCATTATGTAGATAAAACTATTAATAAATTAATCATTTTCCATACTGCAGCACTGATTTAGATTCCACCACAGGTTAATATACATAATATTAAGTTTCATGGTATGGTATAATTGCTTTAAGTATGTTGAATTTCATAAAGCATATTTTCTTCTTCAGGTGGTCCTTCTGGAAAGGCTTCTGAAGTTTTTTTTGGCAAGATTTCATAAGTGGTTTGCCATTGCATGTTTTCTAGGGCTAAAAGACAGTGACTGGCCCAAAGACACTCAGCTGACTTTGGCTTAAGGCAGGATTAAAACCTAGTCTCCCCACTTTCAACCTGTCACCTAGCATTTACACCAAACTGGTTCTCAAAACATAATTTATTCTACATAATTTTGTATTAAGCATAAATTAATAATTTTCCCCCATTTACACTTGTCAGATAAATCTGTGTACACACATACAAGCAGAATTTTCTTCTTACCTTTATCACAGATTCCCCTTTTTACTATTATTTATAACTGTACACTGTACTTTGAATTAATTTGGATATAAATAATTGTCCATGATTTATCTTTCAAAACACCTTGGATCTTGGCTTATATTGAGAATTCACCTCTAGTACTAACACCTTTTGGATAAAAATTACTTTCTTTTTTAAAAAGCAAGAATATTTCAAACAAATGTTCAACATCACAAATATATATTTATTTCCAAACAATTATTAATATACAATTAAAACACAAATCCATACAGCTCACTTCATTACTTCATTTTAAAAAGAAAGTAACATTAAATCCTTGAGGTAGCATTAGATTTGCATGTTTAATAATATTACATTTAATTTGAACTGAAAATTATTTGGACTATCTATGAACAGAAAAGATATAAACTTAAATAAATGCAAAGGCCATATTCTGCCACTGAACTATCTAAACTTTCTGTTTTGCAAGGTATTCCCATATGGTTACATCCTATGGTTCCTTCTTCCCTCATCCTATTGCCAAATTGGTTATTAAATTTCTAGACCCCTGAATTCTTTTTAAGCAACAAGATTAAAAATTCAGCCAATTTGCTCCTTTTTCAAAGTCTACACACCAGATAACATCAACTAGAATTACTGCAAGTGCTGTTAGCAGAGGCAATAGTCAGCTACCATCATTTTCCATATCTTTTAAAGAAAAATCATCTAGACATTTCACTAATAAATTTCAACTGGATATTCCTTAGCCTGATATCCAAAGTTTTTTTTTTTTTTTTTTTTTCAAATATAAATTTTTTATTGTTTTCATCATAAAAAAAAAAACACATCACAAATACATCACAATGTAAAAACCCCTACCCCCCACCCCCCACCCGGACTTCCCAAACCTAATCCCAGGATACTATTCAACTAAAAGTAAACTAGTATTAATATCCCTAACTCCACAAAATATTATTCTACATAAGTAAGTGAAATATATATATATATATAAAAAAAAAAGTTTTTATCTAAAAACCTAAATTATATTCCACCATTCTATACTTATTTTGAATATAAACAATCCATCTCCTCCATATTGATAAAAATTGTTCATTTGAGTGATCCTTCAGATAAGCCGAAATTTTTGCCATTTCAGCAAGATGCGAAACCTTCAATCTCCAGTCCTCCATTGTAGGTAAAACTTTACTCTTCCAATTTTGAGCTATCAACAAACGGGCAGCAGTTAAACAATACAACATCAAATTCGTTTCTTTTACATCCAAATTAT